CTGCTGTTGCCGCCGCCCAGCCCTTGAGGTCCAAGATCGCCGGTTCACCGTCCGACCCTGCGATGAACTTGTGGTGGTTGGCAGCAACATGCGCACGAAGCAGCGCCAGCACGCAGGCGGGGTCGCCAGTCCCCTCGCATGGGGGCACGTCCGCCGTGACAGCTCCAGGACGAGATCCGTCCTTGGTGACAAGGATCGGAGAGGCGCTCTTCCCCTGCGGACAATCCTCACGACGCTCCAGGTAGCCGTAGTCGCACGGCACTACTGGTACTCCACGGGGATTGTCTGGCATTGTAGTGGCCTTCGGCCAGTGCCGCCGATCCGGAGCGCTCCGACTGATGTGATCCTCCTTCGCCCTCGTCCCTCCTCTCTTTTCCCTTCCTTGCCCCTCTCATTCCGCATTTATCCAGTGGCCTTCGGCCTATCCCACCACCGTGCGTGGGTGGTGGGTCAGAGGCCTCATGGACGCTGGTTGGGATCTCGTGGTTGGCTGGGACCTCTGGGGGCCTCTTGGGGGCCTCTTGGGGCTTCTTGGGGGCCTCTTGGGCCTCTTGGGGCCACTTGGGGGCCTCTTGGGGGTCTCTTGGGAGTCTCTTGGGGCTTCTTGGGGGCCTCTTCTGGGCCCCTTGGGGCCTCTTGGAGGCCTCTTCGGAGCCTCTTGGTGCGGGAGGGGTGGCACTCGAGTTCGGAACCCCCTCGGAGGCCACGATCCTTGTGAGGGGTGTCAAAAAACGCATCCGCCGGAAACTCGCCCCCCCCCCCCCCCACCCCCCCTTCCCCGGCAGAGCCACCCCGGCAACCCCCCCAGAGGCTGAGGCTCAGCCTCGAAGCTGTAGCTGAGACTCCTTGAAACTCACACGCCGGATCGGCGGATTTGGTGGTGCTGATCAGCACGCCCACGTCCAGCCACGCACGCTTCGCACGGTTTGGAGCGGTGGGGCATGTGGCCCGCACACTCGTGCGCGTCGCGCTCCGCCTGCGTAGGTTTAGCCGGGGCTCACCGAGGCTGCAGTGCAGGCTGTTCGGCGTCCGTGTTGTGAGGCTCATCCCCAGCACCTGGAACGATCGGGCTCCCCGGAAATCTCTCGCGAGGCGCGGCTGGTGGTAGTGCAGGGTCGCCCTGGACGGGGTGCATCTCGAGCGACTTGTCCTTCTCCGAACTGTGCTGGGCCCTCCACGTTGCTGGGCCCTGCCGACCGTCGGGGCGGCTGAGTCGGAGTTGGACTTGCAGCCACAGGACTTGCCCCTCGAAAGGGGACAAGTCCTGAAACCTCGCCGTCTCCTTTGTCACCGTCTTGGAATGTTCCTTCTGGTCCTTCAGGATCTTGGTGCCGATCTTCTCGGCCTGGTCGTGCGGAACGACTTCCAGATCCAGCTCCCACACCCTCTTCCTGAGCTGGAAGTTGGTCTTCGCGCCAGTCGCCTTGTGGATGGAGTGGCTCCTGTCGTTGCCATTGGAGTCGAAGTCGAAGACCACAATCTGTCATGCCTTGTCATGTCGCACACGCTCAGCAGGGGCTTCTTCACCTTGCACGCGCGCGCTCGCAGTCCTCGTAAACGACCGTCCGCACGATACAGTCGACGCCGTTCACCTCGATCCAAGATCTTCTCCCCAGCAGCGCTCTCCTAGGACCGTCTGGTGCCCGGAGTATTCTGATGTAGAGGGTACCCTTGGCAATGGCAGTCGGGCGCGGTCGTCACAGCCGCACCGGAATCGATGTCAACACGCATCGTGCGGCCCTTCTCCGACGAGGCAGTCTGGAGACTCACCGCCGAGAGCGGCAAGAAAAGGTGTCCTAGGGACCCGCCCTGATCGTCCACGACCTCTTTGATCGAGTTCGCTTTCTTGGGCTTCTTGCACTCCTCCCGAGCGTGTCCCAGCTCGCTGCAGTTCCAACACTTCTTCTTCGTGTTGTTCGGCTTGGGCTTACCCTTCGAGTCCTGAATTACCGTTGCCGCCCTTGGGTTTCGATCCCCTGCTGGACCCATCCCCCTTGTTGGCCGGGTTGTACCAGCAGTCCTTCTTCCAGTGACCGGGCTTGTTACAGATGGGGCAATTGGTCGTTAGGGTTTTGTCCTTCCCCTTGCCTCCGCCTGGCTTGCCCTTGCATTTGACCTGGAAGCCCATGGCGGCCAGCTGTCTCGTGAGTGAGCTCCTCCTCCTGGAACTGCCTCAGCAGCGCCACGGTGTCGACGTCCATCGGGCCAGCGCCATGGCTCGCAGCCTGTTGAGCCCGCCGCACCGACTCGATCTCCAGCCGGATCTTCGCCCAGGTGTCGAACCGGTCCATGTTCAACACCAAGTGTTGCTTCAACGCTCCGTCCGGCAGCTGCCGGAGAACGATCTCGACCTTGATAGCCTCGTCAAGCATGAGATTAGATGACAGTTCGTACCTTTGGACATCGCACTCAAACTGCTCGAACCTAGCGGCGGTGTCACCCTCGAAGTTGAAAGATAGGAGGTCCAAGAGTAGATTGGCATGGCGAGCCGCACTTTACGGCTCGTGCTGCTGGCAGAGCGCCCTCCTCGCCAAGAGGCCATCCGTGGTACACCATCACCAGCATGTAGAGAACAGCTGGGTGCTAAACTGGCGGTCGGCTGGGGAAGGGTGCACGTTGTCCACGCGGTCCTCTGAAAGCTCCGCCGTCTTCATCAGCGTCCCAAGCTGCTCGTGGCAGGCGGCAGCATAGGAAAGTGCGAATCCGACCGCGAGTGGAGTATGAGCTTTCTCTCTCTGCCCGTTGCAGCGATCGAGGGCACTCGCGCTTCCCCAGGGCGGCGCGCCTGTCTGATCAACATTGGCTATGGCACACACGCACTCATACACTCCAGCAAGCACCTCACAGGAGCACGAGTGTCACATACATGTCTGACGTACCCACGTTCGCACTGATCTTCCCTCTCTTTCTTGTGCTCCTCACTGCAGTGGGCTCTTCGTCTCTCCGCTCATCGTCCAGTCTTATCCTGGGTCCCACGGGCTGTCCACCTCTGGCGCTTGGTTCTCCTCAGGCAGGAACTCCTTCAGCGCCTCCAGGACTCGATCTCGCATGATCGGGTAGGACACCAGCGACCAGGCCACACTCTCCATGATAGTTTCCATCGCCTCCGCGTAGCCGTCGTCCGTCGGCACGCCGCGCCTGCCTCCCGTGTCCTCCTGCAGCTGCTTCTTGACTGGCATCTTGGTCTTGGCGCGGAAGAACTCCACTGCTGGGCACATCGACTCCATCTTGGGCTTCGAGTCGGCTGGTGCATCCTGTCACTCCACGTGCATCTGCTCGAGCGCCACCAGCGTTTTGCACACCTCGTCCTCCAGCGCAGCGGTCGTCATCACCTGCACGTTCCAAGTGTTGGAGACATACTGCAGTGTCACTCGCACGTTGCCCTTCTTGGCGGGCACTCCTGCCAGCAAAGCCTTTGCCAGCACTCTCACCTTGACCCTGGCCTGGGCCATCTCCGTCGTGGACACCTCTGGGCACACGTCTGCCAGCCCGAGCATGAAAGCCCTGGCTTGGTCGTCCCGTCCTCGCACCTCGAACTTCACCATCGCCCAAGCCTGGAGGTGGATTGGGAGCTCCAGCACAGCTTGCGGCTCGGACTGCCTTCTCTGCTTGAGCCTTAGCCAAAGTGACGGACTCATTTGCTAGCTGGTACGCCGACGCTCTCAGACGCGCTCACAGTACATCTGTCGCCTCTGCACGATCTTTTGTTAGGGCATCTCCTAGCATGAGCTCCATCGGGCCCCGCTTGAGCGTCCCTCCGAGTCTCCTGAGGCTCCCCTTGGCTATGGCGATATCTGTGGAGGCCTTCTTGTCGTCGAGTCCTGTCGGGCCCCCCGGCTTGGTCACATGGTCGAACACGGATTTGCAATCTATCACGCTAACGGCCGAGAAGTTCTTAGAGTATGTGCCCCGGTTCTCCAGACAAAACATGGGGTACAGCGTAGCCGCGAAAGCGCACATGATCCACTCGAGGTGACCCAACGAGGCCTTCAGAAGCTTGCTCTCCCCCGCCAGCGTGGATGTACATCCCTGCTTGATCTTCCGAGCCTTCCATACTAAAGGGCACCAGGGAGCCAAAATACCTTTTGCCATCGAGGGGTCCGTGGCATTTGTAATGTGCCGCCCTGCGTCCTCCCGGTCCCGACCAGATCTTTCGACGAGTAGTCCGAATGGCGCACGAAACGAAGACGCTTTGGAGGAATACTGAGGAACGTAATCGAGATCTCCTGCTTCGCCCTCCGAACCCAAGCATTCGATCTTCTGATCTGGCCGACCGTGGGGTTAGGCATGATCTGCTGCGAGAACGAGATCTGGCAACTCAAGTCAGGCGGAGTCTGGCCCGCGAGCCAGTTTCCTTGCTGGGTCGTCGAGATATGGTTGTGCACCTCGAGCGGCTGGGCCACATCACCGGGTCGGGCTGATCTCCTAGCCTTGGCTGGACTGACTCCCTTCGTGTACTCCGACTGCGATCGGACGATCGAGTAGTCAGCTCGCTGAGTGAGGACCGATCCCGTGAACTCCCCGCTGCCTGTCACCCACTTCTGAAAAGGGAATCTCTCTTTCGCAGCTTTTTCATCGCACTGGCCCGCGGCAGCCCACGGCCACCGTTGATCTGCTCATCAACATGCACTCCGGGAATTCCGCGCAGGGCGCCCGGCTCGCCGCAGATCTGGGCACGTGCAGGCCCCGTGGCGCACGGGATGACCAACACCCGGTCTCTGGCCGCGAGGTGGGCGTTCTCCTTCTCCACGGGCTCCCTCGGCAAGAACACGCACGGGTCCATCGGGTGCTGGTCGAAGTGCAGCTCCCCCACCATCCTCCGGCTCCGCCACAAGGAAAGCTGACTTCACGTCCCCGATCGTCATCTCGAATCTGCATGACGCCAACGTCTGCAGCAGCATCGCACGCCCTTTGGTAGACAAGGTAGGACTCGCTGTGCGTCCTTCACGCACCAGATCCGGGATGTCCGGGTCCTTGAAGGCTTGCAGCGTACAACGGCACTAGACCTCGTCCTCGCCGTCGTCACCAGCTCGCCGCGTCAGCACCGGCCTCGGGCGCAAAATGCGCTCTGGCACTTGGGTCTCCAGCACCCTCGACGTCTCCAGATCCATCGGTCGCCAGACCTTGGTCTCGTGCATCAGGCTTCCCATCTCCTTCTCGCAGGCCTTCTCGATCATCCTCTTGCCCTTCACTGACTTCCACCTCTCGTCCTTGAGATTGATCTCCTTGCTCCCCTGCGTCAGCAGAACGTCCACCTCCCCCACGACGATGTTCTCATCCGTGTCCTCTGCCAGGTGGGCGTCCGCGGAGTCGATGAGCGGTGGGCTCGGCAAGCTCGGAGGGTACATGATGCCGCCGATATGCTGCCTGTTTGTCTCGCTCTGGTCTCCGCCCGGCTTGTCGACCCTTCGTTTGCTCCTCCAGCCTCGGTCTCTTGATATCTTCTGAGATCTCGGCGTCCTCTGCCATCGGGCCCTCCTCCGACTCGTGCGTTTCGAACAAGGTCCGTTTGTCCACAGTCTGCTTCCCGCGCAGCCGTCTCCGACACTCCGTCTCCTCTCCGTCTCCGGCGTCTTGCTCATCATCCTCCTTCTCGTCGGGGGGTGACTCTGGAGCTTCAGGACTGAGGGACCTCCGCTTCCACCTCCGTCTCTGGCAGTCGTTCACCGCCAGTGATGTCCTCGGACCTCTGGCCGCTGTAGTGCTCCAGGTCCACCAGCTTGGTCCGCAGCTACGCCTCCACCAAGCGCCAGGCGTGGCGCTCCTCTCTCGCTGCCGGTCTCATCTGTTCTGGCGACGCCTTTATCACTGCCCCTGGAGCGCCACCCAGTACTTGCCACGCACCTCGCCCATGTATATACCTGGCCGCCAACGGTGATGCGCCCGCTTGCCTGGGATACCCTTGTTCCGCATCATGCGCCACACCGCCACCATGTCACTTGGCTGGTACTTGACCACGACTCTTGGGCGAGAATCCAACGCTCGCCTCGTCGTCAGCTTGTCCTGCTGCATGAGCAGCTTCATGCGAGCGATGGTCCTGATCCGCGCCTGCTGAGCTGCCACAGGGTCGTTCACGATCGCACTGTTGGCAATCTTGTTTGGGTCGTCCTGCAGCAGGTCCCCTGGCACCTCTGGGTTGCGACCGAACACTATCTGCATCGGGGACGTCCCTATCACCGAGAGGAGGCTGTTCTTGGCCAAGACCAGCTCCATCACGCACTCACGCCACTCCATCTCGGTCTGGGGCTGGGCCTCGCGGATCGAACAGTTGATTGTGGTGCTCGATCTTGCCATTCTGCTCCTTCGCGCCTCCTGCCGCGTCCGCCGCCTCAATCCCTTGGCGTTCGCACCAGTTGGTAAACTCGTCGCTCACCTGTGCCCGATGCGGGTCCACCTTCAGCCTCTTCGGTCTCATGTAGGGTCGGACCCACGCTTGCCTGAACGTGTCTGTCAGGTTCTTCGAGGTCTCCGCCATGCCGATCATCGGCTCCACCTGGTGCAGCGAGCTCGCCTCGTCGACGATCCCAAGGCACGTGATCCGTTCCCCGGAGATCCATCCGGGCATATCCTTGCAGTCCATGTTCGCATATTTGAGTGGGAGATTGGTTTCTGCAGGAGTGCTGGGCATCGCCACCTTCGGACACTTCATCCCCTCGCACTCTGGACAGTAAAACTCGTACGCTGCCTTGATCGCCTGCTCCGTGGCATGCGCATGTCGGAGATGACGCACTAGCACATGTTTCGGCAGCGTCCGAGCTGCACGTGTAGCTTCTGGAGGTTGTTCTGTATCGAGCTTTGAGGCCGACGTACGACATCCCGCGTCTCATCTGCGTCCTCATCAACCTCCTCTTGCTCCTCCTGCACCGCCCAGCAACTCGCTACACAGCTGGATGCTTCTGCTTTGCACTGACGTCGCATGCCTCTGGCGATCGCCTCCACCAGCCTCCTGGGGTAACGCTGGCTGCACACCGACTGCTTGATCCCGCACTTCAGCATGCCCTCGGTGTGGTGGTGCTCGTGTCCTCCACTGCACCTCCTCTGTACCGCCCACGCCACCTCCGGCGCCGACGTCACGAACTTCCAGCTCTTTGGCATCAGCTTGAGCGTGTCTGGGCAGCGTAGTCCGAACGCACAGCCACTCGCAACACCCACATACACCCCTGGCAGCTGCAGCAGCTGCTTCATCACCAGCACCTGCAGGCTCGCACACCTTGGTGGGGTCTCATACAGAAAATGTCTGCCCCGCTCCAGCTGGTAGATCGCCACCTCGACGACTACATGCAGTAGACTCACCGTCCACCTCACATCCGACAAGTGCTGTGCCCTGTCCACGCGTCGCTCCATAGGTGTGCACTGCTGCAATACCGAAAGCTTGCGACACAGGGGACACATGTGCACCCAGTAGGGCTCGTCCTCGACAATATGTTTCCACATCGCGTTGTAGTCGTCGGCCTGGTTGACGTCGTCTTGTCGAGACCTCTTGCCTCTCTGGAATCCTGCCTTCACCGCGACTGGTACGATCCGCGGGGGGGAACAGTTCCGTCAGCATCCTTCCAGCCTGTGAGCTCCGACCCGGCCCTACTGAAAAACCGATGTCTGCTCAGCCCCACGATGCCCATTCTGCACGCGAACCGCCGAGGTGTGCACCTGCCTGTGGGACCTCTTCTCTTTGTTCATGAGATCGATCTCGTAGTGCCCTGCCGCTGTCTCGTTCAGAGGGATCGTCAGGTCGAGCTTCTTCGGATACATCGTGTCCGTCTCGAGGTCGATCTTCGCACCCAACGCCTTCAGGTCGGGCTCACTCATCAGGAAGCCAGCCGGCCCTTGGACCACATGCACCACGAACGTCACCGTGTACCCCTTGACCGTCCAGTCGAGCTCGACTGCGCCGATGGACTCCTGCACGCTGTTGTCGAAGCCTCGGAACCGCATCTGCTTCGCATCCTTCAGCCATCGAGCTTTCTGACCCGTCGCCGCCTCATGCTTCATCAGCGTCTCCGCGCCTATCAGGGACTTGCAGCAGCCCGTGTCCGGCACAGAGCACCCGTCCGAGTGAGTAACCCCGAGGACCGTACCTTCCGTCGTCGTCTTCTTCTCCGTGATCCCGTCCTCGTCCTCTGGATCCTCATTCATCTCGTGCTCTAACCTCTTCACCGCTCCTCCTGGATGAGCGTCGCCAGGACGTTGTCCTCGTGGACCTTCAGGATGCTGTTGATCTCCTCATCGATGTCCTGCTCGGCCGCCATCATCATCTCCCGCTCGTTGGACGCCTGCAAATCTTGGACTGCCTGAACCCTTTCGCCGTCGGACTTCACACACTCCGCGAATACCATCTGCGAGCTGTGAGCCGGCATCGGCTCTTTGCAATCTTTATTGAAGTCACCTATCTTCTTGCACCTGAAGCACTTCCTTCACTCGGCATCCGAGCTTGTCCAGATCCTGGCGTGTCGGGCCACCTGCTCCGGTGTGTCTAGACTGCCATCCAGGTCGCAAACCTCGATCCAGCTTCTCCCTGTTCATGGCCACTCGCGTCTGCTTCCACGTCGCCAGGATCTCCACAGCATCTGACTCATCGATCGGTTCCGCCGCCTGGACGATCGCGTCAATCTCCCGGGTGACGTCGTCCTCCGCACCCTCGTCCTTGTAGGGCTCCAGCATCTGCGGGAAATCGGTCTCGCCGTGCTCCTCTTCCGCCGCATACGTGGCCTGCGCGAGTGTCTCCGTTGGCACTCCCGGGAACGCCGTCCTCAGCGCCGTACAGACTTCATCCACGTGCCAGCTCCTGTGCGTCGCCGACATAATCCTGGCTCTGCCAAAACTTCCCAGTCGAGCACCTCGCAGTATCAGGTACCCTCGCGCCACTGGCGGTGGGTCCACGCCCTCCTTGGCCAGCCGGGCGTACACCAGCTGAGCACGGCCCGTGTAGGCCTCCGTCGTCTCCTGCTTCTGGATCTTGAGACTGAAGCCCTCCTCCATAGCCTCCCCGAGGCGGTCTGCGGCAACTTTGTCAGGGAATCTCTCATCAAGACGCTCGAACACCAGCTCCTCACCTGACTTGGCGTTGATCTCTGCCAAGTCCACGTTCTCTACCGCCAGCGCGACCTGCCCGTCCAGGAGGGTGTACAGCCATGGCCGATCGCCTCCTCCGGGGTTCCCTTCGCCTTCTGCACCACGATCGCCGCCTTCGCCCACCGCTTCCATATTTTGTAGGCTGCAGCATCATCGTTGCCGTCCCCGCTGAAGCGCTTCTGGTTGGCGCCACCGTTGTTCTCCGCCATCGTGGTGATCTCCTGATCGACCACAGCTCCTCACACTCGCTCTCTGGCTCAAGCCACTGCGAATCCGACCGCGAGTGGAGTATGAGCTTTATCTATCTGCCAGCTACAGCGATCGAGGGCGCTCGCGCTTCCCCAGGGCGACGCGCCTGTCTGATCAACAGTGGCTATGGCACACACGCGCGCATACACTCCAGCAAGCACCTCACAGGAGCACGTGTGTCACATACATGTCTCACGTACCCACGTTCGCAGAACGCATCACGATAGACCAGTATTTTCAATATTTCTCTCCGTCGAACTCCCTAGGTTTGCCGATCAAGAGGGTGTCCACCGCGAAGGTCGGCTGAGGGTCTTTGGAGGAAGCCGCAGTCGCAGACTTCATCTGGGCCTGCATCTCGATCATCTGCTGCTGCATGTGTTGCAATGCCGTTACTTGCTGCTGTAGTTGTGTTGTTAATTGCTGATTGTGTTGTTGTAGCTGCCCCATGTTGCCTACAGGTCGTTCCAATCGGTGAACACCTTACTAATCTTAGTCTTGGGCTCGGTCTCGGACTCGAGCTCGTTCTTAGGATCCTGAGTGGCGGTGCTATCCGCGCACTCCAGTTTGAACTGCGTGGAGGCGGAGCTACCCGCACGTCCCACGCGCCCTGATTGTACCTCGGGCTCGAGGCGCGTGGAGGCGGAGCTACCCGCACTTCCAGCGCCCTCAGAGCCCGATTCCGATCCTGTTGGCGCGCCTCCGCGCCGTTCGACGCCGCGGAGTTGGCGTCGCAGCTGGGCAGACGTGCTGCGCCTCTGGCCGCGCGAAAGCCTGCCTGACCGTGGATCGGCCTCAGCTCCTGCTACCATGACAAGCTTGTATGCTCGCGTCGCACTTGAGCCCAAGAGGGCCCGCAGATAATCAAATCATGTCAATGCATACGCGCGGCACGCAGGCATACTTCATCAGAGATGCCACGCGAAAGCTGGTCTGGCCAGGTCCCCCTGAAACATCCTCGCAACACTGCGCGCTGGCCACATCCCTGATCGGGAACGGTATTCTCGCCTCAACGCTGGCCAAATCCTTTATTGGGTACGTACGGTGTTGCCGCTCGAGTCCCAGCAACATCCGTGATTGGGAATGGTGCTCTCGCCCGAGCACTGGCTACATCCCCGTTTGGGATTGGTGCTGTCGCTTGCACGCTGGCCACATGCCTCATCATTAGGCGTGGTGCTCTCGTCTTAGCGCCGTCCCCATCCCTAAGTGGGTATTGTACTGTCGCTCGAGCTCCAGCCACAATCACATGCTGGGACGCTTATGGTACGCATCTTGCAGGGGTTGTCCGGGTTGTCCAGGGGGTTGTCTGGGGATTTTTGGGGGATCCGTTTTTTTCCATTGAACATCGAGTATTGGCATTTGTGTGGTAGGATCACACTTTTATCGGGCCCTTTTTACACTTAGCAGAACCCATCTTACGCCCCCCTCCCACATCTGCGTCCACTACTCCCTCGCCCATCCTCTATCCTCTACATCCTCAAGCCCCTCCCCTCCGCGTGCCTTCAAAGCTTCTCCCTTGCGCCCTAGTGTGAGACCAACGTCGCCACGTGCGGCAGCGCCCCAGAATGTGCCAGACAGCAGGCCGCGGCGGCGCGCGACCCTCTGCCCCTCGCAGGAGGTGCTGTGGCCGTTCGCCTTCCACTGCACTGGCATGCCCATCGCGGCTGCGGCGATGAAGCTGAAGGGAGACCTGGAGTCCAGAGAACAGCCAGCTGCCGCGCCAGAGGCTCTGAGCAGTTCGCCCGCAGAGTCCGAGGACGGGCTGTTCCAATCAGTGGGGACGTGGCCCCCGAGCCCGCGTCCACGCCTAAAGTCTCAACGAATGCACACCGGCCGACATGGAACTTTCTTTGGGCGGCCAGTCTGCTTCCACGCGGACGAACGCCTCTCCCATGGCCTCCCCCCACAGCAGCTATGCCCCCCTTTGAGCACCCGGACATCCGAATAACAGCAAAGTGAGGCAATTCTTTGGCGGCCGCGCACGTACCCACCCCACCCAGAGGTCTGGATGAAGAGGAGGAGGAGGAGGAGGAGGAGGAGGAGGAGGAGGTCGGGGTAAGTGTTGCTACTGGACCCGGTCCTGATTACCAGCCGTCCCGCAGGCCAAAAGCGTGCCAACATATCTAAGAACATTTTTCGAGAGGCGCAGGCAAATTTTAGCAGGAGGAGGTGGACAGGCCTGCTTCCTCGGATGCCGCGGGCCTGGCGGCTCGCAAGATCTCCGTCGGAGTGTCTGAGCCGGCGGGAGCTCCAGTCTCAGTTGCCTCTAGGAGTCCACCGGTGCACCCGGAGCATTCAAGGGAAAGAAGACGAAGGTGGAGCAGAAGACCGGCGGACTTTCCCAGTACGACATCATGAAGGTGCCCCGCGGGGACGCGGATTCGCCCGCCCCATTCAGATTCAATGTGCAACGTTTGATTGGGATTGGGTTGCTAATGTGAGCAATCAGTTGTTTTCAAATCGTGTTCTCTACACGGGGGAGGCGGAGGATGAAGAATGGAAAGGAGGAAGAGGAGCAAAGATGAGCATGGGGGGCGGCAAGGGGCCATTTTGTAGCAGCCAGGGCCATCTTGTAATCCCGATACCATAAACGGTGCGGTATCCGAACGGCACGGTATCCGAACGACAGGGCATTCGAACGGCACGGTGAGCTATCCGACCATGCGTATCAACATAAAGATATAGCAAGCCCGTTCGATTCCATATTTACAATCTGAAAATATGTATTTATATATATGTAAGTGATTATTTGAACTTGGTTGTACGACCGACACATCCGAATAGTTACACCTGGTCTTAGTAATTCCTAGAGTTCGATACGTGCTGTTGGTCACCGAAACTTCTGGCGACCGACATTTCTGGTAACTGGAACTTCTGGGGTGTCTGCACGGTTGCCTTCCTTGTGTTATCCTCCCGTCCGTTTTTACGGGCGTTGGTGGCCATCGAACGTTACGCGGCCGAATCTGTACACAAGAACGACCAAGGAGGTGTGGGATCCAACCGAGGGGGAGGAGGAGGGGGGGGGGGGGGAGAAGGACGAGGAAATGATATGTTTGTGTATGTTGCGTGTGTTGTCCGGTAGTTGTTGCAATCAGAGAACAAAACATGGAATGCATCAGGGATAATTACTCCGACGGTCGGACCCACACTATTATATGTATATCTATATATATATATATATATATCCCCCCGCTTCTGCGTCCTTATCATCATCATTAGCATTACCATCATCATCATCATCATCATCATCATCAGCATCATCATCATCATCACCATGATCATCATCATCATCATCATCATCATCATCATCATCATCATCATCATCATCATTGTCATTGTCCTTCTCGCCCTACCCGTTAGATGTTTGATCTTCCTCCTCTTTCTCTTCCTCCTCGTCCTCCTCCTCCTCCTCATCCTCCTCCTCCCCCCATAACCATTTTGGCTCAAAATGGATTCGTCCCTCGGGCAGACAGTGGAAACCTGTAGTCCGAGGCCAGACCAGGAAGTTTTGGTGAGCTCCTGCTGGAGCATATTCTCCTCTCCCGCACTCGCACAGGCTAGAGCGGTCAAACTGAGGCATTTCCATTTCCTGCGCGGGCCTGTGCTCATCCGCACGGTGTCCGACTTTCTCGCTGTCCCATGGCGAAGAGGCGATGACCGAAAGGGACAACATGTAACATAATATCAAGAAACCGTCCAAGGGAGAAACGGTCACCCCTTCTCGTGCTCGTGAGCGTGCCCCTACTCCTCTATCTGCGAATGGCTGGTCTGAGTTCTCTGTTGCTACGACGCCTCCTGCTTCCCCGAGGCCCCGCGCTGCGGCCCCGCCGCTGGCAGCCAAGCTGGGCGCGATGGCGCATCGCAGGCTGGGCGCCCCACGGCGGCGGCAGCTGGCAGCTCTGGCGGACGTCGGGTTCTTCGCCAGGCTTGACGAAGCCCCCACGTTCCCGTCGCAGGAGTTCGCTGACCCCGGAGCGCCCTCTAGTGGCGGTGCTCCGCCTGGCGCGGCGAGGCTTTAGCGGGGACCCGCTGATCATGGAGGCGGTGGGCCGACTGATGCGCGTGGTGCTTTTGTTCCCCATATCCTAAGATGGGGTTCTTGTTATGACTTGGACGCCTCCTGCTCCTCTTCCTTCTTCTCCTTCTCCTCCCCTCTCCTCCTCATACCCAGACTTACTCATACACAGACTGGCTCACACCCAGACTTACTCATACCCAGACGTACTCACACACAAACTTACTCTGATTCAGACCTACTCATATTCAGACCTACTCCTACTCAGACTTACTCATGGTGAGACTCACGCACGCCCCGTTCGCGGCCGTTTTGTGGGGATGCCTCAAGCGGTTTGCTTGCTTTCTGTCCCAACATCCTTGGCTACCAGAGCAGATTGTGACGATGTCTCAGGCGGGGCTCTGGTTTCAGCTCTCCCTGAGGGGAGCCGCCATGGGTCATCTCACGGTCCCGTTCGCGGCCGTTTTGTGGGGATGTCTCAAGCGGTTTGCTTTTTTTTCTGTCCCGACATCTTTCGCTTTCGGAGCAGATTTGGAGGATGTCTCGAGCGAGGCGCTCAGTTTCACTCCCCTAAGGGGAGCCGCCAGGGGTTATCTCACGGTCCCGTTCGCGGCCGTGTCGTGGGGATGTCTCAAGCGGTTTGTTTGTTTTCTGTCCCAGCATCCTTCGCTTTCGGAGCAGATTTGGAGGATGTCTCGAGCGAGGCGCCCATTTTCACCCCCCAGACGGGAGCCGCCAGGGGTTATAGTCGTTACCATGCGCTCCCTGCCGCCGTATGTACATATATTTGCATTGCCTTGACCAGTGTGATGACTAATCCACAGCTGTTTGGGACTAGAGAGGAAAAGTTCGCGTGACACCACATTCTCTTTTCTCCCGATCCGCTTAACGGACAGTCGAACCTCATACTTGGACGCCTGCCGCCGTTCACATTGCCGCCATGGTCTCTCGGGGATCCTCGAGCCCAAGACGTCCCTTGGAACCAATGCTAGGAGTATCACATTTACCACCAGTACATCCTGATCAGATTTGCCCCGTTGGGCTTAAGTTGGGTAAAGATGGGTTATCTGCCGAAAGTGCCGATCCAAGGATGACCGGCCACGTGGGTCATCTTGGGGCTCATAAGATATTCGTCCCGCAAAAAAAGCCGAATGCGGAAATTGACCTTGGCTTAACAAAACCAGGCAAGTATGATAAACGGGTCGATGGACCGATATCCTCGACCTCCCAGCGCATCCAAGACCAAGGAAGGGCAGATGGCATGCCTGTCAACCGTGGAAGACAGGACACACATGTGCCAGAAGACATTTCCGACGAAGAAGATTGGTGGCATGGCGGCAAAAGCCGCCCCCAGAATCCTCCATCCGATGATGTCGCACAGGCGCACGTTGTCCACTCCAGTTCGTCGGGCGAGGAAGGCGTGGTAAGAACCCTTTAAAATAAGGGGGAAACGTTTTCCGCGTCGAGCTCTTCGGAGACGATCGAGACGTCTATACTCGAAAGGACGCCAATTAAGCAAACTGCGGACCATGTCCGAAGCCCGGCCGGGGAGCCCATCTGGGAAGACAGCGGAGATCGCACTGGGGCCCGCGGACCATCGTCCGGGGGGGTCGCGGTGGAAGCGCGGCTCGGAAGACCCCGAGGGAAGACCCGGCCGACATTAAGGTGTCGCCTTACGAGAAGCGCCCCAAGATCGAGACTGGCGGGCCGCGCGCCCGCGACGCGCCCAGCCCAATGCCGGGGGCCCGACTCCGAGGAAGGCAGCTCCTAGAGTCCCCGAGCTCCATCTCCCAGAGATCAAGGTCGGGAAAGGGCGGTCCTAGCCGCGCCCCGAGGAGCTCCCGACATAGCTCGTCTCCATCGAGGTCGTCGGCGCCCAGGCACATGATCATGATCAAGGAACCTTGTGCCCATCAGGGACCGAGCTGCGCGGAAGGCCCCGAGGGCTGCTGCCCCGGACGTACCTTCGACAACGGACCATGCAAGAAGCCAGTATGCCGAGGCTGATCATTCCAACGTTCGCCGTGCAACTTGAACTACCTGTGCCTCGATTGAACGCCCCCGAAGTTGCGCAATTGCTTCGCTCTCAACAACCGCGAATGGGAGCAGCAGCAGGAAATGAAGCAGCAGCAAAGGCAGCAGGAACGCATTTCCGAGATTGCTGCCACGCGAGCGATGATGGTTGACATGGAAGCAAATCAGAAGAAGCAGGCCGAAATTATCGCGGCGAAGGCTGAGTGCGAAATGCGCGAAATCCTCCAGAGAGAAAGAAAGGAGAAGCACTCCTCCGCGAGGCTGCGCATTCGGCGGACCGCGAGGCTAAGGAACAGGCGAAGATTGAACGAGCCATAGCTGAACAAGCGCGCGAAGCCCTCCGGGGAGCTCAAGACAGGGAAGCGCAGCTCGAGCACGGTATTCGTCTGAAGCTGCAGGAAGCCACTGCGCCCCATGAAAATCCGCGTCTAGGGCGGAACAAGTTGCCGTGAAGTCGATCGCTGAGAAGCGTCACGCGGAGGAGAAGGCTTTTAATGCCAAGGAGATGGCCATGTCGTCTCTACGAGCTGCGCAAACGAAGCGGCAACAGCTGGAGAATGAAGCTCGCGCGTCGCAAATTGGAGCTGCGAAGACACGCGCTGAGCTCAAACGAGCCTCGGAAACTGCGTCGGCCATCCAGGGGGAGGCCAGTGGGGAAGCAAAAGCTTTACACCAAGAAAGGGCAGAGGCGCTCGCCGAACATGAGTCGGCTTCCCGCCAAGCGGCCGAACTGAGGTCAATGCACCAACGCGCTCAGCAGGCCGTAGAAACGTCTCGGGCCGGCCATGCCAGTGCGAGGAACGAAGCAGAGGACGCAATTCGAGCCATGCGGAACACCGAAATTCAAGACCAGCTGGAAGCGGAAGCAGCAAAACACCATCTCCAGAAGGAAGCTGTCTCGACTGCACACGGATGGGAGGCTCAACGCGAGATGAGCTACCGACAGCAAGCACGACAGCTGGTACAAGACGGACTGCAGGGCATGGCAAGCACGGTCAGAAGGGCCGCATCGGCAACCGCCTCGCGGGTCCGCACGTCGGGGGGGGGGGGGGGGCGCAAGTCAGCGGGGGGGCCCCCGATCCTGGCCGGCCATGACCGATAAGAGCCGATGCTTCATCTGCAACGCTTCCGACGCTCCGCGCAGATGCGAAAGGTGCGAAAGGCCATTCTGCGAATTGCATTTCGATTGGGTAGCGAGGCGCTGCCACCAGTGCGAACGAGATAGGGCGCGCGATCACGAAGAAGCGCTGAGGGAGCAGCGCGAAGAAGAAGAAGCCCAGATAATGAGAAGGATGCGGGAGGAGGAAGAGCGCGCTCGGACCAGAGACGAGATCGGGGCCCAGGCGGAAGCCAGGGCATCCCGTCGCATCCGGGAACTTGAAGGAGCAGAGCTCCGCGCGATGAAGTTAGCAGAAAATGCGCGGACTCAAGCCAGCGAGATGCGAGAGAAGGCCGAGGCGCCGATGAAATAACCGGAACTAAGCGCGAAAAAGGCCGAGCATGATCATCACGAGCACCGGGAATTAGCTCCCAGCGAGGCGCAGGCAATGAAGGAGGAACAGAATAATAAGAAAAGGGAGGGGCCTTCAGCGAACTCATTCCCAGAGCGCACGCCGCCTGCCCAACCGAGGAAAACGACTGCTCATGCTGGGGGCCTGGCAGGGGGCGATGATAAACCCTTCCACCACGGCAATGCCGAAGGTGGGGGAGAAAAGTCTGGAGGAAAGAAAGGCGGCGCAAGTGGAGCGCCTGGGGGGTGATGATCCTGGCGATGATAGTGACGATGGTGACGATGACGACTACGAGCCGAGCGACGAAGATGACTCCAGCGAGGAGGAGTCTGACGATGAAGAGGATGACGAATCCGAAGAAGGAGAAGATGAAGAGGCCGCCAATGAGAGGACAGGACGGCGCGCCGCTGCCCAGTGTTCCGGCCAAGGCAATCCGGGGGGCGGTGGCCCTCCACCGCCGGGCCCGTTCCGAGGAGGGGGCGGACCGGGAGCCCCAGAATCTGGGGGAATGATTCCAACCTCCGCCCCATGGGCAACGGCGGACAGAATCGACGAGGTCACGCTTGACCCCCTGCCCGATGCTGGGAGCTTCCAAACGTGGAAGAAGTCTGTCATCAGAACGGTGGCTTCATGCTCTCAGCAAAATCACATCTCGGCGTCAAAGTGGGTGGCCGAGGCCTCTGAGCCTAAAATGGAGAAAGCCAGGAAGGTCGAATGCCCTGGCCCACTTTGGGAACCTCGACATACGCATCGCAGTTGACCTCATAGCGAAGCTGACGGAAATTCAGAGAGGGACCCTAATTTCCCTTATGCTCTCCGCCACCTAGCCAACAAAGTCGACCGCGCGGGCGCGAACAAAATGAAGAAAGGACGACCGCTGACGGGCAGGTCGATTCTCCGTATAATCCAGATACACGTCACCACGCGTGAGGACCACGGACAGGCGTATACCTACGAGGACCTCATGGCAATCCGGATCAAAGGGGAAGGAAAGGAGGCTGACATGGACCTCCACCACTTCTACGATGAATGGATGCGGGTGGCGCAGGAGATGGAGAGACCCCACGAATCTTTCAGACCCTCGATCCAAATCCACCTTCACAAGCAGATGAAGAAATTTCCCTGCATGCAGATGACTCTCGTCATGCATGACCACAGTAACGATGAGTACGGGAAGGGCATGGAATCTTACGAGTGGCTTTTGGAACAGACCGCGAGGCAGATGCTGAAGGATCGGGGCGAAGACAACCGCAGGACCCAGAAGCAGCAAATAAGCAAACGCGGGATGAAACTCAGCGGTGGCAAGGGCGGTGATGGGAGCAAGGACTCGATTACCATCAAGGATGGACGGCTCAAGAAGTCCGTTGTCTGTCGACGCTGGCTCAGAGACCAATGCCCATTCAGTCGGAATGATTGCCAATGCCTGCGCCCCAGGAAGGCGACGCCCGCGCAATTGCAAAAACGCGGACAAACTCAGGTCGCCGCTCCAGGGCCCACCCATGGAAGACCGACTGGGAGGGGCCTGGGGGGCAAATCCGATTCTAGGGGCAAAGGCAAGGAAGACCGAAAAAGATATAGGCAAGGGCAAATGCGATCGTAATGGCGGAAAGGATGACCGGCCCAAGAAGCAGAACGGACGCGGTAGCAGCAACCTTCCGCCGAATAGCAAAAACAAGGTTTGCTATTCTTACAGCCGGGGCCCCCATAATTGCGCCGGCTCGCGCGGTCGCGAGCATCGCCCGCTGTCGAAGCAGGAAAAGCTGGGGCGGGGCGCCTGGGAGCAACGCCTGCAATAGGCCGGCAAGGGTCTCCCTTGCAGCCGAAACGCGGAGCAGACGGCTGCAGCCGAGAAGAGCGCGAAAGCCTCGAAGCAATTGGCTGCCCCCGCGCCTGACGGAGGAAAGCCGCAGGGCGGCAAGACCATTGGGCAGACAGGCAAAACCAAGGCGAAGTGCCGGTACCACTTGGTCGGTCAGACAGGCCCTTCTGGAGACAAGTGCCGGCGCAAGGCCAACGCCCCCAGGCATCCTTGATCCGGGGTGGCGGTGCGCAGCGCCCATGGTGCTGCCGCCGCGCTGGCGGGGGCCGTATCAGGGCTATCCTGTGCGGATCCCGCAGGTGAGATGCAGCTGGCTGTCCCGGCTGCGCCGTTCGCCGGGTCGCGACCCCGTGCGATGCCGCAGAAGCTTATGGCCGGCTCTATAAACGCGCGGTCCTGAGAAACTAACGGTCAACTTCATTTGGCCCATGCCGTGCACGGAGCGCCCACTATGGGCGCCCAGCAGCACTCAGCCGTCGCAAAGTCCGACAACAGTTCCTTCACAGGAATGCTGAGGTGCATGATAGCGGTCGGGATTTCATCGCATCCCGAGGGGGCGCTGGACCTGCTCAAGTCGGGAAGGCCCGAACGAAGCCCACTGCGCCATGCTGCAGGGGACATCAGCAAGCGGCGGCCGATGGCTGCCGACAAAAACAGAAAGGTGACATTTCACCCGTTTGCGCATATCCCCACTCTATGGACGATGAGGGAACTGAGGAAGGGAGAGCCAATCCCGATCGTTACGAAGCATGGCGACCCGTTCTGTTTCCCGAATAAGTGGCATAATTGGCGGGACAAGACTACCCGAGTGCATCAACAGCTCGCCCACAACGATGCGAGCGAGCTGGAACTCGAGGTATGGAGACAAGAGCCCGCGTCTGAAGACGGATCCGGCAGCGATGCTAGCGAAGGCAGCGCCGACGCCGCATCTGCTAGACGACGCAGCCAAAGAAAAATGAGCAACGGAGCAGTGAAGCTCGGGTCGATGCGTTTTATCATTGACACAGGCTGCGGCCCCAACCTCATCGCTCTGAAGTGCAGCCAGAATGCAGGCGCCATTGGTAAGATAAAGGAACTGAAGGTTCCGATCGCACTTAACGCGGCAGGAGGGCTCTCCAGCGCTCTAGGAACCGTGAAGGTGGCCTGCGACCGGCTGGTGAAAAGTTCGACGCGATCGTAATGCCTGAAGCACCGAGCGTTATATCCGTGGGCGGACTTTGCATGGATAACGGACGCCGCGGTTGTCCGAGGCCAACGTCCTCTCACAGGCGGACCAAACCACTGGCTGGAGGCGCTTGCCCTCGCGCGTGCAATCCAAAAACGTGATCAGAGGGTCCCCGGGCTCGAAGTGTTTCGTGCTTTCCCGTTCGAAGGCGTAATGGATCTGAGAGAAGATTTCGATCGCGTGCTGCGCCTCCACCGTCGGCGGCTCCGCGTTCTTGTACGACTTGTCGTTCAGGTTATCGCTCACGTCCGTCAGCAGGCCGATGTTGCCGGTGGGCTTCAACTGCAGGAAATCGCACAGGTGCAACACGATGGGATCGCGCCCGAACTGGTTGCGCGGCCATTTGTAGGTGGATTATTGCACGTCGTGCGTGTCACTGCGCGCGTGGCAGGCGCGAAGGTCCCACGCGTTGTATAGCGCGACCGCCACCGTGCTCACCTCCCCGAAGCCAAGAATGCGGACGTTTTCCCAGAACCACTTCAGCCTCTTCTGCTTGCCCCCCGGCGTTATTTTCGCGTTGATGTATTTCTCGGCTCGCAAAACGCAGGAGTTATTCAGCGTTGTGGCTTTCACCGTCGCCGTGGAAATATGTTCTGGTTTCGAGGAGGCCACGACCATCATGGCGCCCTCACCCGGCGCCGACGAAGGCCACACATGCTCCACCATTGGGAAAACGATGTTTTGTCTTCTACACCAATTGCGTCTTCCCCGAACCGCCGTGGCCCAGCAGGAACAAATGCGCCACTTCTCTCTCGCCCCAGGGTTTCTCGACAACCTCCGCGTCATGGGCTGTCTTCGCGACGAGCCCTGGAGGGTTCAGCACCGAATGTTTTCCGAACGCGAGCCACAGAGCCACAGAGGGTTCAACGCGCCGACCACAAGTAGCACGAACCCCGAAGGGTTCAGCGCGAACGGCACGAGCCCCGAACGTGTTCAGTGCCGCACACCCTGGCACACGTAGCACGCCCCAATGTGACCACGCATGAGCGCTGTTGTTCTGAGAAAGTCACACAAGCAAAAGGCGCACATCAGACCAGGGCGTCTCGGCGACCAAACTTCTCGGAGACCTTGAACGAAACGGACGTCAAAACATTGCGAACCGCACCTGGCCCCCACAGTTTTCTCAGACGAAGCGGAGCAGTGTAAGGATGTCTCAGGCGAAACGGACCAACCATGTCAAGTTTTCACGTATTCCACCACCTCCTCTTTTCCCCCTTCCTTCCCCTCTTCCACCACGTCGTCCGTCCTCACACTGTTCATTCGCCCCTCACTCGAACCTTTTGCCCACTGGCGTCTCTTCACAGCTCCATACCAACGCCAAAGACACCCCCGAAACGAACCCCTCGCCATGCAAGTCTCCGCCGCCACGCGGGATTCACTCACAGACGAGGCTCTCGCTTGAGACTGCCTCCATACTCAAGCCTGAGAAGCTCCAAAATGACGACAGGCACAAGGATCCCGATGACCCGCTCGGATTACCAACATGACGCGCGGGCCCCATTCGGAAGGGGGTCCCGTTCGAGACTTCTTCCGTATTCAGGCCACAGGAGCCCAAAAGTGACGATACTATAGGATTCCGATGGTCCTCTTCGGATGATAGCGTGCGATGCGGGCCCCATAAGGAATATGTTCCCGCTTGAGACTTCCTCGCGATTCATTCACGAAGGAGGCTTCCAGCTGAGACTCCCTAGAATTTAAGCTTGAGGAGCCCAAAGTGACGACATTTACAGGATTCCAATGGCCCTCGTGAGATTAGACCATGAAGCGCCGGCCCCAATAGGGAATACGTTCCCGCTTGAGATTTCCTCGCGATTCATTCACAAACGAGGTTTCCGTCTGAGATTTTCGTTCTGTTCAGGCCAAGGTAGACCAAAGAGGACGACATTTGCAGGATGTTGATGACAAGCTCGGATTCGAAAGTACAGCGCGGGCCCAAATAGGGAGGGGATTCCCGCTTGAAGTTTCCTCGCGATTCATTCACAGACGAAGCTCCTTTTTGACCGACTATCACGATGGGATGGTGATAGTGACATGTGTGGTGATAGTTATGTAGATGATGTGCTGGTGAGCGATCATGGGCTGATGATGGTGATGGTGAGCGATGAGGTTGGAGGGCACGGGAGCAGCAGAGAGCACGGGAGTTGCAACGAACGCGACAGCAGCAGCGGAGGCGGAGGCAGCAAGGGACGCGAGAAGAGCAGAGGACACAGGAGTCCAGGCGCAGCTGAGAGCACGGGAGCAGCAGAGGAGACGGGAGCGGCAGAAGGCACAGAAGCATCAGAAACGGATATCCAGCTAAGGACCCAATCAGAAGAGAACGAGAGAGCAGCGAAGAACACCAGAGCAACAGAGGATTCAGGAGCAGCAGGTGGTGTATTTCCATGATGGAAACAACGCTGCACACGTTGAAACATGTTTCCCTTATCCAAGAGTCGGGTGTTTGTGTTCTCTGGACACCCACCGCGCAGGATCTCGCCCCCTGTGTTCCTCTTTCTTCTCCCCCTCCTCCTGGTCCTCCTCATCCCCCTCCGTCTCATCATCACTATCAGCAGCATCATCATCTTGTTTATCATCATCATCATCATCATCATCATCATCATCATCATCACCACCATCATCATCATCATATGCATCATACTATGACCGATCACTCACTGATCAACATCATTATCACTACTACAATCGCCATCACCAGAATCCCTGTGCCATCATGATCACGACCATCGGTCGAAGTGAATTGTGAGGAAGTCTCGAGCGGGAATCCCCTCCGTAAGGGCCCCGCACTTCATACTCGAATCCGAAGCGGGTCATCGGCGTACCATAGCAGGCACAGCACTTGTGCGCCCCAAGGGGCCTCGTTTGGTGAGTGACTTGTGAGGAAGTCTCGAGCGTGAACCCACTCCCTAAGGGCCCTGCTCTTCATATTCGAATCCGAAGCGGGTCATCGGCGGACCATAGCAGGCACACCTGAACGCCCCAAGGAGCCTCGTTTGGTGAATGATTTGTGAGGAGGTCTCGAGCGGAACATGCCTCCAGCGCCGTGCGCGGGGGCCCAGCAGGGCCTTTGGGGTGGATTCGGCCATAAGACGTCACCCTGACAACTAATTCATCACGCCGCCAGCAGGTCCAAACATACCACCCTCAGCCAGGAGTCAAAACTGTGTATGCCATTTCGTGCTTTGCCCACTAGCAGGACCAGGTATGGCGCTTTGGGCGTACGCGGTGGGACGGGAAGGCGAGGGCGGGGACATTCATAGAATTCACCACGAACCCGTCACAGTATGTGCAGTGACAGGGGAGGCGGACCGTCGCCCCATCCCACCATCATAGGAGGATGCGAAGGCCCTGGCGACGGGACGGGGTAGACACGAGCGGGCATCATAGCCGGCTCAAAAATCAAAAGAGGCATCATAGCCTCAACATTGGCCATTGACATTGTAGATTGTACCATTCACGGATCCAGTTCTAATTACATCATTGATTTCATTACATGCGTGGGCCGTGAACGGGATTCAGTCCCTTGCCAGCAGCCCAGCGCCTGTCATAGAATTCATTGAGTGCGTAGAAATCATGGGTGGGAGAGGGCTGATATTTGCTTCTCTCTTTTCTGTTTCTTTCTCTTTACTGTCCTCTCGCGTTCTCACCTCTCCTCTCATGGGCGTGTCAGCAGGATAATATGTGCGAATCTGGACCTTACGTACTCCGTGTGCAGGAATCCCTAGATTTCCCTCCCAGGACACCTGCTGCGAGCACGGCGGACCGCGTGACCGACCAGAGGCGGCTCCGGGCGCACCGCGACTACGGAGATTACCGGGACTATGGCCGTGAACACCATGCCCGGCATAGGGCATGGTCGGACCGCGTTCATCATAGATCGAGATCGGACCGCGACCATCATAGGTCTAGGTCGGACCGCGACCATCATAGGTCCAGGTCCAGGTCGGTGCGTCGAGACCATCATAGGCCCGGATCCTTGGAATGTGGGGGCTGCCGTGAAGCCACCACCCGCTATGCGGCATCCGGGGACACCTGGCGCAGAATTGCCCGACACTCAGCCCTGCCACGCCAGGACGGGCTCCATGTGTCTCGCCGATGGTGCCCCCCCGAAAGAGGCCCGAGGGTTCACGCCGAAAGCATCGCCAGCAGCTCGCCCGCCGCAGCTGCCGCTGACCTACGATCGCCGCCCCACCGTTCGGCACCGTGAGTATCACGGCACCTATACGTAATCCGTGCATGACCGCCGCGCCGCAGATCCACACCATCAGCCCTCGAGCCGTGGCCACATGCAGGGTGACCTCTCCGGCGCCATGGACAAGCTAACTACAGAATGCCAAGGCCACCATCCAGCGACTCACGGACGCAGACATCCGGGACTTGCTGTTCTCGGGGGGCGCGGTCTCGACACGGCTTTCTGAGGCAGCGCGCGCTCTCCCACCCGATTTCAAGCCCGACTTCCCCTTCGGCACGGAAGAATTCATCCAGGAGCAGAAAAGTGCAATGCCGAAATGTTGCGCCGGTGCGTATACTTGTGCACTTCCAAAACTACGGAAGGAGATCTCAAATAATGTCGACGACTTTTGTCCTACATCATACGGTTCACAGCCAACTTCGAAAGATCGTCGCGTTCGTACCCCTCGATTCCGACATTTTCAATTTTTCTGGATCCCCTCCCAAATTCTTTACAAGCGGGCCGAGCAGTCCACGTCGGGCGAGGAGTCCCTGGCGAAGATGACCCATGAGGTCGCCGCCCGCCTCGCGGATGCAGGCCAGGCGCACCTCGAGGTAACGGGTGCGCTCCAGGAGTTCCAGCCGGCATCTTCCCGTGCGTTGCGCGCGCTCTCAGGAGGGGGGCGGGCATCGCATGCGACGATCGCGCAGCGCACGCTGGACGAGATCAAGAAGTTGAAGTCGGACAGGACGCACCAGAGCAGGGCCGCGAAGACCACTGGTTGGGCCATGGACGAAGCTGTGCCGACGGAGGAGTCTCCAGCGTTGGAGCAACAGCGCTTCGAGGGCTACCGCAAGGCGCTCAATGCCAACGCGACGCCCAATGGCAGGAAGGTGAAGCCTGATCCAAAGGTCCTGGGGGCTTTCAAGGACAAGGCCACCGCAATGGGGGTAAAGTTCGACGAGGAACGCGTCGGGGACCTGGCGCAGCTCCTGACCGCGCTCATGGCCAAGACGCGCCATCCAGAGGAATGACTACCTATCAAAGCGGGCACGCGACGGGGGCGCAGCGCATGCGGTGGTGTTTGGAATCTTCACGACGATGGGATGCCATGTATCTCCAGAACTCGTGGTACAACAACGCGCCGGCGTTGGTCCTCTACGCCCTCCGCGACGTGTATTCCGAGAGCCTTCTTGCGTGGCCCTGCATCTTCTGCCTCCTGCGCATGGGCATTGCGCTCGCCGCGCCTTTCCTGACGTCCTCCGCCGCAGCCGTCCACAGCAAGTTGCGCAGCTTGGCTTCTTCACTTCCATCTTCTACGTGGCCGGCGCCGCTGGGCATGTTGCATGCCGAAGTTGTCGTTTACTTTATCTGGAGCCTTTGGCACAGATATTTTTAAATGTGCAAGACGGTCGAATTCAAGTCGCGGGCGCGGCGACACCTCCAGGGGGTGCTGTTCGCCTGCAACTACAAGCCGCAGCTCTACATGTTCGTGCTGTCGTCCTTGCTCGGGGGTGACCTTGCCAGCGCGGCGGTTACGATGGTCTTTGCGCCTATCGCCCGCGCAAGGACCGACGCGCACCTCGCGGATCTGGGGAGGCACGTTTTCGACACCATTCACCCCCCACTCAATGAGCCTTCTGTTCAGCGACTGCTGGGCCACGAAACGCTCGGCCAGCGCTGGCCCCGCCAGCGCTGCAGTTACTGCCCCGCGGCCCCGGCCCGACTGACGCAGCGCCGGTTCTTCGCGCAGGACGCTCCCAGGTCGCTCCGTCAGGAGGGCCCTGGACACTGCTGCAAGAACATCGTGCGTTGGTGGGTTGCGGGCGCTTGCAACACCTGCGGGCCCCCGGCGCCTGGCCAACGCCGCAGACAGATCTTCAAGGTGTCGCCAGCGGAATTCTACACCATCTGGAGCCGGATCACTAGGGCCGCCGACAGAATGCTTCGCCGCATGGGGTTGTTCTTCTTGGATCGCTTCGCCGCATGGGGTTGTTCTTCTTGGCCATTGCTGGTTCCGCGGGCATCGGCCCGCATCTCCTTATGATCTCGGCTACCACGCGGCAGTGCCCATCAAGTCTTGCGCGGGGCTGCTTTCCTGTCCTGGTCATGCACTGCCGCTCCCGCGGGCGCGGTCTGCTTCTGCTGTCGCTGCGGCGCCTCCGCGTCGGCGTCGCGCCGCGCCCGGCCCTCGCGCTGGGGCGCGCCCTCCGCCATGCACCGCAATTCTACGCCAGGCTGCGCGAACCGCCCCGTGGGAATGCGCGCGCGACGCCATCCCGACGTTCGCCACGCTGGCGCGCCCGCATCTTCGCCCCGCGGGAAACGTGGCGGAGGCCGCGCAACAAGCTTCGCCTTCGCACGGGCCCATCCCACACGGCAATCGCCCCCGATTGGACAATCGCGGCCAAGCAGATCATCAAGCTCATCATCATTAAGGTTGGCCAGGACATTGGGGGCACGTGGAGACGACGGGCCGCTTGAGCACATGGCAGGGCGAGCTGCCGCGGCATGCTGCGGGGAGGACGCTTGCTCGGGCATCGCCCCCCACCTCGGCCCAGTCGCGCGGGCGGGCGCGTCTGCTATGCGGCGTTGTTTGAGGCGGCCTGTCATTGAAGTCAGACCCGGCGCGTCATGGTAGCCGAGAGTTCTTGAGGGGCGCAGCTCTTGCGCCGCGAGCTGTTCGGGGCCGACGAGGATGGCCCGTTCTGCCAGTACTTCCCCGACCTTGCGGCCGAGGTCGTCACGCAGCGGGCGCCTTAATTGCGCGGAGGGGCCCTCCGCTGCCTTGCGGCCTGGATCCATCGGCAGGCGGTGGGGCTGGAAGACGGCGCGAGCGAGTGCCCCAGACAAGGAAAATTCGAAGCTGGACGATCGTCGCCCCATGGCTAATAATGGATTGGCCTGGCCCACGGCGCGCGCGGATGCGCCGGCGGCCCGGGCGCCAGATTGGATAGGGGCCCAGTGCTTCTCTCATCGCGCCCACATCGACATTCGCATGGCTGCTGCCGTCGTCGAGTTCATCTGCTGCAAGCTCAGCGATATTGGAACTGCGACGCCAGTGCGGGGATGCGGGTCAGACGTGGCCAGCTGCTTGATCGACGTACCACGCGGGCTGGTCATCCGCGCGCGGACGCTCCACAGGCGCGCCCTCCGCGGTTCGATCGACGCTATTCGGGCAGCGCGGCGGGGAAGGCGGGCGCTGTCATCAGCGGGGGGTTCTCCGCCTAGGGCGGCGGCCACTTCGTCGCCATTGCCATCGCGAACTTGTCCGTGCTGATCCGCCACCACCTCGGCGTTGGATTGCCCATGTTGGGCGAGGTAGTGGGCAGGGAATTGGAGGAACTTGCCGCGGGCAGCCCCGTTGGATCGGCTCTCGCCCGCGTGGCCTTCACCCACTGCGACTTGCCGTTCCGCTACTCCTTGCGCGGCCCAGGCCCCCCCCGCTCCGGGGGGCAGGGGGCCGCCCTGGGCAAGGCGGTCTGGGTCTCAAGGCGCGGTCCATGGATCCACCGTTCGTTTCACTGGAAGGGCCTGCCCTGCTTGGGGGCTATGGGGACCGGCGTTTATCGGCTCACCTGGCGCGCCGTGCATGGGGGCGGCGCTGGCGGTGGCCACGAAGTCGTGGGCGTGGGCCTCCAGCTGAACGTCGACGGCGCTGTCGGGCGCCGCCCCGCGGCGGGCCGCCTCGGGGGCGCGGGCGCGAGCTTCGATTTCGATGGCTGCGCGCTCTTTTTCTTCAGCTTCACCCCCGACAGCTCCAAGCGCGCCGTCGTTCTCGGCATCGCGGCGCGCTTCGCGCAGCTCGCCTTACCGACGGGCCTTCGCTCTGAGGCGCTGGATGTTCTTCGGGCCCGCCCGACCGAGATCTCCGGGTGCCCAGGGGCAGTTTTCGACGCGCGGGCTGGCGAGGGCATGCGCCGCTGGCAAAGTTGAGTCTCAGTGTAATAACAGGGGGCGGCCCGGCTCTGGCATGAAAGGGCCCTGCTCCTTCCCCTCCGCCGCTTGCGTCGCCCTCCTTTCCCTTTTGTTATTTTTCCCCCCCCTTGCCCTTCGTTCTTTCCCTCCCCTTGCTCCATCCCCCCGGGGGCCCCTGTTTTGTTGATCCTTGCCCCGGTCGCGCGGCCGGCGATTGCTGGCCCTGCCCGCGCAACTGGGCAGCGAAATCTCGGGCGCCGCCCGGGCGTCGAATGCGACCCTGGGCGGGGCATCGCGAGGCTTGCCGGCCGCAGGTGAGGGTTCATGGGCCGGCGGCCTCTGCGACGTCACGCCCGCGATCCACGAGCCCACAAGCACAACGTTCCTTGAATTCGCGCGGACGCGTAGGTTTTGTCCCAGTGCTGAGGAAACAGGCGCGCCTGACCATCCGCTATCGTTTCGTGCCTGGCGGGGCCCCCCAGCCTTGCGCCGGAGAGATCTTCGAGGCATGTTCCGGGGAGTGCTTCTCGGAACATGCCTCCGGCGCAGCGCGATCGGGCCCAGCAGGGCCTCCGGGGTGGTTTCGGCTTGACGATGCCACCATCGCGCGGACGCGGAGGTTCTGTCCCTGCGAGGAAACCGGCGCGCCGGCAGGCACATCTGCCATCGCTTCGGGCCCGGCGGGGTTTTCCAGCTTGCGCCGGAGAGATCCTCGAGGCACGTTCCGGGGAGAGCTTCCCGGAACGCGCCTCCGGCGCCGCGCGCCAGGCCCAGCGGGGCCTCCTGGGGTGGATTCGGCCATGAGATTTCACCATGACAGCCAATTCATCACCCCGCCAACAGATCCAATCATGCCACCCTCAGCTCGGAATCAAAACTGTGTAATTATACCAGTTCGTGTCGTAAACAACAGCAGGACCAGGCATGGCGCTCTGGGCGCACGCGGTGGGGGGGGGCGTTCATAGAATTCACAAGTACCCCCGCGAACCCGGCACAGTACGCGCAGTAACGGGGGAGGCGGACCGTCGCCCCACCCCGCCAGCATAGGGGGGTGCGAAGGCCCTGGCGACGGGGGCGGGGCGGGCACGAGCGAGCATCATTGCTGGTTCAAAAATCACAAGAGACAAGAGGCATCATAGTCTCATCGTGGACATTGTAGACTGATCCACTCGCGGATCGAATTGTAATTACTACATCATTGATTTCATCGCATGCGCAGCATGCCTTCCTCTCCCTAAGGGCCCCGCGCTTCGCGTTCGAATCCGAGGCGGGTCAGCGGCTCACCATGGCAAGCGTGGGACTTGAGCACCTGGGGAGCTTCGTGCGTGAGTGAACTGCGAGGAAGTCTCGAGTGGGGACCCCCCTCTGCCCCGCGCTTCACGTTCGAATCCGAGGCGGGTCATCGGCGCGCCATAGTAACACTTGAGTGTCTCAAAGAGCCTCGTCAGCGAATGACTTGTGGGCCATCGCCCCACCGTAGCAGGCATGGCATTTCAACGCCTAAAGGGGCCTCGTCTGTCAGGCGGCAGCCCCCCCTCTATAGGGCCCGCAACCCGCGTTATTCATCCGAGCGGGTCGTCGGAGTGATTTTTGACCGCTTTGTATGGAGGAAGCCATTCCGTCGCGGGCATGCAGAACATGCCGATCCGCCGGCCGCCCGCGCGAGAATTCCCGGAGCGCGGGCCGCCGGCGCCCTTGCGGGAGGCGCTCAGGCAGTTCGACAAGACAGCGGCGAGCTCCAGGACTGAGGCGGAGCAGCTCGCGGCAGAGCTGGGCTTCGCGCTGCCTTCCGCCCGCGCGCGGCCGGGGGCCTGCGGGGCTGCCCCGACGGCTTGCTCCCGCCCCCCAGCGGTTCGCGGGGTTGCCCCAGAAGACTTCGCGATTTGGTCATCGGAGAACGTGCCCCCGCGGGGCTTCTCGGAACGCTTCTTGGGCCACTTGGAGCCCTGTCAGGCCGTCTTGGGGCCCTCTTGGCGTTTTGGGCTGTCCTGGGGCCGTCTTGGGAGCTTCGTGAGCCATCTTGGAGCGTCGGACAGCCGAATATGCGAGAACCCCAAACTCCTTCAAAAACCTTTTTGTAAAATCGACGATGCTGGCCTCCTGGAGCTCTCTCGGGGAGCCTCTTGAAGCGCTTTTGGGGTCGCTTGGGGCCCCCTTTGGGCCGTTTTGGGATCATCTTCGGGCGCCTTGGAGCACTCTTGGCCTCGAGTGCATTCGTGGGCGCGAATATTGAATGTGTTACGAAGGTTTGCTGCTTCGGGGAAGCAAGAGGTTAGCAATTTGCGAGGGTTCGTGGCTTCGGGGGCGCGAGCATTGCGCAATTTACGAAAAGGATTCTGGCTTCGGGGACGCGACGCGACTATTGAGCAATTCGGTAGGGTTTGTGGCGTCGGGAACGCGAATATAGCATAATGTGGCTTCGGGGGCGCGAATATTGCGCAATGCGCGAGGCTTTCTTGCCTCGGGGACGCATAACTTTCATATTTGATGTAGATGTATTGCCTCGGGCGCGCAAGATTTGTATATTGTAGTGGCCTCCGGCCAGTGCCGCCGATCCGGGGCGCTCCGCAAGATGATGATCAGGATGATGCTGCAGGGGAGAGGGCAGGGGAGGGGGTCTGCTCTGCAGGGGGAGTCCGCTCGGCAGAGGGAGGGACTGCAGGGGAGAGGGGTGGTCCGCTCTGAAGGAGGGGGGGGCTGCAGGAGAGGAAGTCTGCTCTGCAGGGGGGGGGGGGGGGGGGGGGGGGGGGCAGGGGAGGGGGGGGGGCGTCCGCTCTGCAGGGGGGGCGCGCACGGAGCGGGGTCCGCTCTGCAGCGGGGGGGGGCTGGGCTGCAGGGAGGGGGGGGGGCGGTCCGCTCTGCAGGGGGGGGGTCCGCTCTGGGAGGAGGGGGGGCTGCAGGAGGGCGGGTCTGCTCTGCAGAGGGGGGGGGAGCAAGGGGGGAGGGGGGGGGGATCCGCTCTGGGGGGGGGGGGGGCTGCAGGGAGGAGGTCCGCTCTGCAAGGGGAGAGGGGGGGGGGGGCTCTGCAGGGGGGGGGGGGCAGGGGGGGGGGGGGTCGCTCTGCAGCGGGGCGGGGGGGCTACAGGGGCAGGGTCCGCTCTGCAGGGGGGGTGGGGGGGGGGGGAGGGGGGAACGCCCGCTCTGCAGGAGGGGGGTGTGGAGCGGGGTCCGCTCTGCAGCGGCGGAAGGGGCTGGGCTGCAGGGAGGGGGGGGCGGTCTGGTCTGCAGGGGAGGGGGGGGTGGGAGGAGGGGGGCTGCAGGAGGGCGGGTCTGCTCTGCAGAGGGGGGGGGGCAGGGGAGGAGAGGGGGATCCGCTCTGCAGGGGGGGGGGCTGCAGGGAGGAGGTCCGCTCTGCAAGGGGGGGGGTGCTCTGCAGGGGTGGTGGTGCCGGGGGAGGGGGGTTCGCTCTGCAGCGGGGCGGGGGGGCTACAGGGGCGAGGTCCGCTCTGCAGGGGAAGGGGGGGGGGGGGGGCTGGGCTGCAGGAAGCGGGAGGGGGGCGTTCTGCAGGGGATGGGGGGTTCCGCTCTGGGAGGGGGGGGGGGGGGGGGCGAAGCACTGAATTGGGTCGGAAATGAGGTTTCCCCCCCCCCTCCGAAGCATTGAATTAGGTCGGAAATGAGGCCCCCCGCCCCCCCCCCCGCAGAGCGAAGCTTGAGCGAGCTCAAGCCCACGCTCTCAGAAACTCACACGCCGGATCGGCGGACTTTGCAAGTGTTAATGGCCTCGGGGGCGAGACTATCTTGTAATGTGTAAAGGTTTGTTGTCTCGGTGGCGCAAAACTTATTTAATTTGCAAGGAGTGTTGGCTTCGGGGGCGCGAGTACTGTGCAAATGAAGAGAAATCGTTGCCTCGGGTGTACAAGTGTGGCGTAAGTTATGATGGATCGTGGCCCCCGAGGTGCGAATACATTGCAATTTTCGACGATCGTGGCTTCGGGGACTCGCAATTTGCATGGGATCGTTGCCTCGGGGACACGAGCGTGGCGTAATTTACAGAGGGTCGTGGCCTCGGGAGCGCGAACGTGGGGTAATTTGTTGGGAAGCGTGGCCCCAGAAACCCGAACGTAGCGTGATGCATTGGAGATCGTGGCCTCGGGGGCGCGAGTATTATTATTTCACGCGGGATCGTGGGTTCGGGGACGCGAGCGTGGCACAATTTACAAGGGATCGTGGCCTCGGGGATTATGGGGGCTGCTGGGACGTGCGGCTCCTCGGCGCAAGCTGAGCGGCCGCGGGCAGGCACGCCAGTGCCCCACCCCCCTACGCCCCTCCGGAGGGCTGGGGCCATGCGCAGCGCGGCGTCTACAGAGCAGCCCAGCGGCATCCGGAGACGGCCCTTGCCTCCACTGCGGGACAGGGGCGTGCATGTACGGGGGCTTTGCCCTGACGCCGGCGGCCAGAGGAGGGCCTGCCGCTGAGATTCCGGGTTTGGGATCCCGGGCCCGCTGGGGGAGGGGCCGCGCGACGCGCCGGGTTCCTTTGCGCGCGGGGCTCCTTGACGCTTCGTGCCTTCTTCCCTGTGCCACTGGTTGTGCAGCGATCTGCCGAAGCCTGGTTGCTGGCTCCCCTTCCGGGGGGGAGCCTGGGCATAAGGCGCGCGGATCCCCGCCGTTGTGGTGCGGCTCGCGCAGGGGATGCGGCTGCGGAGGGGGGGGGGGGGGGTTCTTGTTGCGGGGGATTCGGTTCGTCGTCGTCTTTTTTTTCTTCTTCTTCTTCTTCTTCTTCTTCTTCTTCTTTTTTTTCTTCTTCTTCTTCTTCTTCTTCTTCTTCTTCTTCTTCTTCTTCTTCTTCTTCGGGGGGCTCGCCCATACTCGGTCTGTGTAGCCTAATTCCCGCTGGCACCTAAGCGTGCCCCTTACATGATTCATCAGCTTGACAATTGATATCCCTGACTGCGGCTGGCGATTTGGTCACCGCCTTTCACGCAGACGGGGGCCAGGACCAGTGCGGCGGCCAGTAGTCTCCTCCTCGGCTGCTGGTTGCCTTGCTTGGCTTAGCTTTTTCACAATTGATTCCACCCAGGGGTGGCCTCGCGGCGGCTCCAGGGTGGTCTCTTCTTAACCCCATTTGACTTTTCTCGGCCTCCGGCCGAGGGCGTCTACGGCATAGGCACCGTGTCGCCATCAACAGCAACAAAGGGATTGTTGCGTTTACCGGGGGGGCGTGACCGGGGACGTCGTGGCTGCTCTGGCCCCGCACGGGCAGGCGGCTAGGCTGCCGGCGGCTGCCGGCCTAGACAGCGCTCCGCCGCCGCTGCACTCGCAAGCTGTTGCACATCCCCGGGAACACTGGCATCCGCGCCCTCACCGCGGTCATGTCTGTGGCCTCGAAGTACCGTTGGGCCGCCCCCTTCGTGGAGTGTCCCCCCGCTTCCCTTGTCAAGCTCACTTTCTGGTGTGTCGCCCGCGCCCGCTGCACCTGGTGGGGCCAGCGGCGCTGGTGGGCCGAGCTCCTCGAGCTCCACCCCGTCTTCGGCACTTCCCTCCAGGCTCTCCGCCAGGCCGCCCGCTTCCCTCGGTCGCCCCTCTGGCGGTCGTGCGTGGCCCACCACGCGGCCACTTTCGGGCTGGTGTCCCACCCCGAGTCGCCCGGGCTGCTGCCCGTCTGGGTCCGCGCCGGGCTCGTTCTCGACCCCCGGGCGGCGGCCGCCGTGGCTGGGGCCGTGGCTTCCTCTGGCTTCCCGCCCTACTTCGACGCCTCGTCACCCAGCGGGCAGCACGTCCTCCGGGTCCGCGCCCGTGCCCAGCTTCTGCAGGTGCGCCCCCAGAGGCCCCGCCACGACGAGGAGGGCATGGCGGACGTCGACATCGAGGCGTCCTCTAAGGCCCCGTGGAGCCAGTGGCGCGAGGGCCTTACTAAGGACGAGCTTAGTCTGCTGTCGGTCTGGCGCGGCGGCGCCGCTCGGACCCCCACTCGACGGGCCCACGCTGAGGCCCCCTGCCCGTTCTGCGAGCACCCCGCCGCGTCCGCCCAGCACTTCTGGGCCGAGTGCCCCCGCTTTCGGCCCCATCGCGTCGCCCTCGGGCGAACCTATGGGGTCGATGAGGCCTGGTGGGCTGCCCAGCCCAGGGTCACGACCAAGACGGGTTGGATCACCACGATCGCCGGCCCCACTACTCAGGACAGGTCCCGGCTTCAGGTCATGTCGTGCAAGCTCGGAATCCGCATCCTGGAGGCTTTGCCCCAGGACTCTGGTTCGGCTCGATCCGGCCCCTGCTGGGCCGGCGGCGCGGCGGCTGGCTGCTGCTGGCCCAGGCAACACTCCGCCCTCGAAGCGGCGGTCCACTCCTCCTCCTTCTCCTCCCCCTCCTCCTCCTCCTGAACCATCTCAGGTGGAGGCGTCTACCGGGGACGTCGTGACTGCTCCGGCCCCGCGCGGACAGGTGGCTAGGCGGCCGGCGGCCGCCGGCCTAGACAGCGCTCCGCCGTCGAAGCGGCGACGGGCGCCACCTCCTCCTCGGCCCCCTCCTGACCCGGCTCAGGTGGACGCGGCGGTGGGGGGCGACGGCGAGGCTTCAGACGGCCATTTTGACGACCAAGACTCCGATGACGATCACCCCCGCCCCTTCCCCCGGTTGGTGGTGCGGTGGTGTGTGGTGCGGCGTCTTGCACGCTGCAGAGCCGAACGCGGGAGCTCTCTCCCGCTTCCCCGACGCCCGGCCGCCGCCCCCAGCGGAGGGTGGAGTCTTTACCGGAGAGGTCTCGGCGCCGGCCACGCCCCACCTCTTCCCCTCCCTCTCCCCGCCGGACTTGGAAGCGAGCTGGTTAGGCTGAGTTGGCGACTCTTTTTGGGTGTGGTCCTTCACCACTTCTTCTGCCTCCGGCCGGGTGTGGCTTAAGGCGACGTCTGGCCGGCATTTTCTACACCTCCATTCTCGGCCTCCGACCGAAGGCGTCAACGGCACAGGCACCGTGTCGCCATCAACCACAACAAGGGATTGTTGCGTCGGGAGCGCGGGTCTGAAGTATTTCTCAGCCATCCTGTGGTGTGGGGTCTTCGTTTTGAAGAGACGGTCCCCGCGTTTCTCCTCCTTCCTTCTTCCCTCCCCCTCCTTTCCCTCCTCTCCTCCTTGCGTTTCACCCACCCAGTATACCGCTTCGTGGCCCCATAGGGAGCTCCACCGAAACGCCCAATGGGACCACCGTCCGGGACGCATGAATCGAAGACGCCTACGGCGAATCACCGCCGCCCCTTGCCTTTTTGGAAGCGCCTATGTGGCCGAACGTTGAGGCCAGACCTGCCAAGCTATCGGACCATGTGTTCCCAGAGTCGGTGTGGAAAGCCTTCGGGGAACACGTGGGCATCTTGAAGGTCATCTTGGCCGTCGGGAAGCCATTTTGACCCTTTCGGGCCTTCTCGGAGGACGTCTTGGAGGACTCTTGGGCCGTTTCGGAGGCCATTTTTTTGAGCGTCTTGGAGGCCTCTTGGGCCGTCTCTTGGGGCCTTCCTGGAGGCCCTCTTGGAGGCCTCTTGGGCCGTCTTGGGCCATCTTAGGGCAATGTTCGGCCGTCTTGGTGGGCTCCTGGTCCGTCTGACGCCGCCCGGAATCCGTTTGGGGAGCCTCTCTGGGTCGACTTGCGGCCCTCTTGGAATGCCCCAGGGCCGTCATGGAGGCCATATTGGGCGTCTTAAAGGCCGCCTGGGCCGTCTTGGGGGCCTCTTGGGGCCGTCTTGGGGCCCTCTTGGGCCGTTCTGGGGCCATCTTGGAGGCCCCTTGGGCGATCTTTGCGCGATATTTGGGGGCTCTTGGGCCGTCTCGGGCCGTCGGAATGCCGTGAAGAAGCACATTCCAACATCCTTCAAAAATCGTTGGAAAATCAGTGATTTTGGCCTCTTCGGGCCCTCCTGGAGGACCTCTTGAAGGCCTCTTGGGCCGTCTTGGAAGCGTCTTGGAGGCTTCTTGGGCGAACTTGGGGTCATCTTGCACTCTTTGAGGCCGTCTTGGAGGCCGTCTTGGACCATCTTCGGCGGACTTGGAGGCCGTCTGGGACCATCTTGGAGGCCATCTTGGGCCAACGTGGCCATTTTGGAGGCCATCTTGGGCCGTTTTGGAAGATTTTTCCGAGAATTAAGCTCCTGGAAGATCGGCCCCGGACACCGGCGGAACGGGCCGAAGCCCCAGGGAGAGTTCTTTTGGAAAAGGAACCACACCCAAAACCGTAATAATCTAGCACGCCATGCATCGCTGCGATGAATCGACAAGGGGCGGCGGATTCTGCATTTACACCCACCCAATGCAGCATTTTGTGGCCGCATAGGGAGCTCCACCGAAGCCCCCAGTGGGACCGTCCGGGACGCATGAATTTAGCATTTTCACCCACCCAGTGCAGCGTTTCGTGGCCCCATAGGGAGCTCCACCGAAGCCCCCAGTGGGACTGTCAGCGCGCGCCTCGGAAACCCAATTTGGCATTTGCATCCCCAGGTCAACATGCGCCCCGGAAACCCAATTTGGCATTCTCACCCACCCAGTACAGCGTTTCGTGGCCCCATAGGGAGCTTCACCGAAGCTCCCGGTGCGACCGCCCGCATGCGTCCCACGCGCCCAATATGGCATTTTCATTAATCCAGTGCACCATTTTGCGGCCACATAGGGAGCTCCACCGAAGCCTCCAGTGGTGGGACCGTCCGGGTCGCATGAATTTTGCATTTTCACCCGCCCAGTACAGCATTTCGTGGCCCCATAGGGAGTTCCACCAAAGCCCCCAGTGGGACCGTCCGCATGCGCCCCAGAAACCCAATTTGGCATTTGCACCCACCCAATACAGCGTTCGGCCCCATAGGGAGCTCTACCGAAGCCCCCACGCCCGCATGCGCCCCACACACGCAACTTGGCATTTTCACCCACCCAGTACAGCGTTCCGTGGCCCCGTAGGGAGATCCACCGACGGCCCCAGTGCTACTGCCCGCACAAGTTCCCTCCCACCCAGTGCAGCGCTTCGTGGCCCCATATGGCGTTCATCCAAAGAAGATATTCACAATTGCGGTACCCACAAGTGCATTTGTTTGGGTCCTTCGCCAGGATAATTTTATGTGTCCTGCGGCCCCGCAGGAATTCAGAGCACGCGACTCGGGGAGGGTAGCCGGACGCTTTTCGGCTCCCCCCCTCATTCGGACATCAACAAATTACAACAGGAAGCAGAAAGCAGGACTGTAACATTAGAGACTGGAAACTGGAACTGGCGCAGGATACTGAAACGTAACCCTCGCAGCCTGATGGCCCCACAAGGGGCCAGCGGATTTTTCGCGCAGTGTTGACAGGGGCTAGTTAGGTCAGAGTTGGTGAAGAGCGTTTTGGGTTAGGGGAGGTGGGGTGGATTCAATATCCGACGTTCTTGAACAGCACAGGATGGCAAGCCCATGGCGCGGCCTGCTGAAATGTGGGCCATGGTCTTGACTATTTTACATCGAAGCTGCAAATCACCGGCAAATGGGAAAAAATAGCATTGGCAGGGGGACTGTCGGCGCGGGGGTGGTCAGTCACGCGCACCGAGGCGCTGGACATCCCCGACGATGAGATTCCTAGATTCGTCGACCCGGAACATTGGCTGGAGTATTTCCCTCCTCTTGCAGTGGCTGACCTCAAGAGATTAGGCGTCGCAGTTGATTGGAGGCGATCTTTCATCACTACGGACGTGAACCCAGCCTACGACATGTTTGTGCGTTGGCAGTTTCTGAAGTTGAGGAGCAAGTATTTGGCGAATGGCAAACGCCAGTCCATCTTCTCCATCGCCACAGGTGGTTGCGATCTTCTTTCTTCCAGGGGAGGGTTGTTCGCATGCACGGGCTGCGAGCGCCTTATCGGCTTGTATTGTGTGATATTGGTTGTGGTTTGTATGTTTGTCCGTGCGGAGGGATTACACTTGTGTGTTGCTCTCACTACTCATCCCTAAGAAACGGGACGAAGAGATGGAGGAAGCAGCGCGAGGGGTGAAGAGATTCAGGGATGAGGGACATTAGCAAAAGCAGCGATGCTCTAGGGCGCGGGATGCCAAAGGGGGTGCAGCTCAGAGAGCGAGGAGGGCGCTGATTGACGGAAACATGGGAGAGCAGGAAGGTACGGAAAAGGAGGAGGAGGAGGAGAAAGAGGAGGAGATGAAGGTACGGGACGAGTAGCAGGTAAGAGGAGGAGGAGGAGGAGGTGGGAGGGAGGGAAGACGAGTCGAGGAGACAGGGCAGGACGCGAAGGGGCGACGGGAAGGCACGACAATGGAGTTGGTCAGGAAGCTTCCGCAGATGGGGCCAGATCCTGGCACGCCCCGTACAGCCAACGCCGCGAATAGAAATTGCCCTCTGCTGGTGCCCACTGGGGACCGCATGAACCATACATCCACATGACACCTCAAACGCGTACATGGTTCCAAGGTGTGCGTTCATTTGTCTTGTTCTAGCATGGTTTGGCTGAAGGGCGCGCGCTTTGCCGCCGTCGCCCCCGCAGGCTGAGCCATATTGTGGCCATGTTGGAAAAATGATGAAGCTATCATGGGGCCTCTCGGGGGTATCTCGGAGTCTTTGAAGCCATCTCGGGCAATACCCGAGCTATCCTGAGGCGGCTAGGGCCCATTTTGAGGGCGTCGTAGGGCCAGGACAAGTTGGGCGGCAGTTTGAGGCCTGTGGGTGCAACTTTGGGGCCGTCTTGGGTAACATCGGAAATTTGAGGAGCTGAGCAAAACGCGGGACATGCAAGACATTGCAAACGTTATGTTTGTTTGACATGTTATTTGCTCTCTCGGTGGCGTTTTGCGGCCCTCCCGGGTCATCTTAGGGGAATATAGGGGCCATCTTCGGCCGTATTGGGCCATTCAAGCCCAAAGCCGGAGCTTCTTCGTCTTCGAGGCCTCTTGGGCCCTCCTGGCCGTGCCTCGGTGTCCAAAGAGAATTCTGGGGCAATCTAGAGCGGCCAGGCATTTGAGGGCCCCCCACCCACCCCTCCGGGTAGCTTGTTTGATTCCCCTGGCCCCCTGAAATGGAGACAGATTTGGGGAAACAGCATCACAACATGCAACATAAAGAGCACGAGACAGCAGCCCATCGGAAAACGTCACGGCCTGGCGATCCTTGGTTTGAGCGGCGCCCCGAGCGCCGATGCGGCCCCATGAGCGCATCGCCGCGTACTTGCCGCGCGGCAAGTGACCTCGAGCGTCCAGGGGAGGCGAAGAGGACCGCTCACTCGCGCGTGCGCCAGGATCGCGAGCGCCAGGACGTGCGGAGCTAAGCGCGCTACGGCGTCTCGGCCGTTCCGCCGTGCGGACTGCGCAGCCTTCGTGCTAACGGCGCGCGCCCGCGCGCACGAGGATGTCGGCCGCGGCCTTCCCGCCGCGACCCCCTTTGCACAAGCCGCCGCCGCACAAGGGAGGGGGGCGACAGAACGAGCACCTCTCTCACGCCGACCTCCTACCTCCACCCACCGGGCTCCGAAAACATGCAACCGCCCTGCCACTTCCCTCACCCATCCCCACGCGCACACTAGAAGAGATGAGAGAGGTGAAGAGAGAAGGAGGAGGAGGAGGAGGAACATAAGCATAAGACAGAGAAGGAAAGGAAAAGGGGAATAAGGAGGAGGAGGAGGCGGAGGAGGTGGCGGAGGAGGAGAAGGAGCAACAGCAGCAGCAAGAGCAGGAGGGGAAGTGGCAGGAGGAGAGGGGGCAGGATGAGCAAGGGCGGCTGTCAGCCGGCAGGAGGACGAGGCAGACGACCGCGGTTGCAAAAAACGGATCCCAGGGCAGCCTTGCGCTGATCACGACTGGGCGCCTAGCGTCCCGCTTGCGCGGCGACCTCACCGCGCCAGGCAGAGTGGCCATCGCTATTATTTGTTGCGCTGCTCTTTCCAATCGTACCCCCAAATCAGTGCTTACTCTCAGGGGTTCTCGCTCACGTTCCGTAAGGAGTTGGACGGGTCAGCCGAGGTTTCGACTAGTGCCTCATTGGTGGGCGCCTCGTGGGCGCCTCGTGGGCGCCTCGTGCGCTGGGTGGGTGAGCCGAGGTTTCGCCTGGTGCCCTCCTGTGGGCGCCCCTGGGCGCCTCGTGGGCGCCTCGTGCGCTGGGCGGCCGCATATCTTGTACCACATAGCTTGAACCACACAGCTTACACCACGTAGCTTGCACCACACGGCTTGCACGGCGTAGCGTGCATCACCTAGTTTGCACTGCATGAGTTCTCCTTTCTAAAAGCAGAATAGACTCTACCCCTCCCCCCGGCGTTATCCCCCCCCTTTCGGGTATGTAAATCATATCTGATTCTGACCACATGTCCATCCGAAATTTGAATTTACACTATCCCCGAGGGGCCGGTATCCCCCCCCCTGAGGTTCCTTTGTAAAGAACGATGCGCGGGAACATCTTTTGTTCTAACATAGCACTTTGTCGCTATCCCTGGGGAACCGGTATCGCCCTCCTGAGGTTCCCTGTTTATAAAACGATACGCGGGGACATCTTTTGTTCTAGCGTATAACATAACACTTGTTCACGAATCCCTTTCCAAAAAATGAGACGAAGTGCGCACGCGCGCGCCGTCGCGCGCGCATGCCGACATCCTCCAAAAACCTTTGGTGTCGGAAGGATGTCGCAATCGAGTTCCCAAGAAACATACAAAAACACAGGGTTTCGCAACACTGATTTGCTAAAAAAGCTTACGCGCGAGCTCTTGCGAAATCTTAAGGCAACCATCGGTTTTTCAAGATTTTCGCAAAATGCTACCAAACGGGCTTCGCGCGCGCGCATGTCGAAATCCGTCGAACGCCCTCGCGCGTGTGCCGTCGCGAGAATCCTTTGCAAAGAAATGAGACGAAGTGCAAACGCGCGCGTCGTCGCGCGCGTATGCCGAAATCCCTCAAAACCCATCGATTTCGAAAGGATTTCAACATCGCGTGTCCAAAAAACCTACAAAAACACAAGGTTTCGCAGCACTGATGTTCAACAAAAGCGTGCGCGCGCGCGCTCTTGCGTCGTTGTCGTCGTCGTTGTCGTCGTTGTCGCTGTTTTTTTTTCCCGCGTCGTCGCCGTTGTCGTCGCTTACGTTGTCTTTTGTCTTTCCTCGTGTTCGTCGTCGTCGTCCTCTTTGGCGTCGTGGTCGTTTCCGTCGTCGTTGTCGCCGTGGTCGTCCTTCCTCCTCCTCCCTCGTCGTGATTGTCGTCCGTCGTCGGCGTCTCGTCGTCGTCCCTCCTATTTCGTCGCCGTCGTCGTCGTCGTCGTCGTTGTCGTCGTCGTCGTCGTCGTCGTCCCTCCTCCCTCGTCGTTGTCGTCGTCGGCGTCGCCGTCCTTCCTCCTTCTTCGTCGTTCGCGTCGTCGCCGTCCTCCCTCCTCCCTCGTCGTTGTCGTCGTTGTCGCCGTCGTCGACCTCCCTCCTCCCTCGTCGTCGTCTTCGTTGGCGACGTCGTCGTCGTCTTCGTCGTCGTCGTCGGCGTCGTTGTCGTCGTTGTCGTCGTTGTCGGCGTCGCCGTCGCCGTCGTCGCCGCCGTCGTCGTCGTCGTCGTCGTCGGTGTCGTTGACGTCGTCGTCGTCGTCGGTGTCGTCGTTTTCGTCGGCGTCGTCATCGTCGTCGTCGTTGTCTTCGTCGTCGGCGTCGGCGTCGGCGTCGTCGTCGTCGTCGGTGTCGTCGTCGTCGTCGTGGTCGTTGTCGGCGTCGTCGAAGTCGTTGGAGACGTCGTCGGTGTGTCGTCGTCGGTGTCTCGACGGCGTGATCAACATCTGCGCCCGCACTGGCCGCGCCGTCGTCGTTGCCAACGTCGTTATCAACATCGCTACGATCATCATCGTGTCTACCGTTGTCGACGTTGCCATGATACCGCGCCTTCCCAAGTCGCCGACTCGCAGTGAAGTGCCAGCTGGGATGTGCCCAGTAGTCAGCGCCACCGCGGCCGCGTCGGTCGCGCCAAACTAGCTGGCCGTTGCGCGCGCTTGGGTTGGCGCGGCTGCAGAGATGGGCCAGCTAACTCCAAACACTTATCGCAATCGTCACCACATGGGTTTTGCAAGCCAGGTTGCGGGTGGGTGGGTGGGTGGGATGTTTGCAAGAGCGTGGGATGTGCCAATTCGTTTGTTAAGACCAATAACGCCATATATATAATCTTTTCTAAGAAGAGAATGGACTCTACCCCCCCTCGTCTTTATCCGCCCCCCTTTCGGGTATGTAAATCATTTTTGATTCTGACCACATGTCCATCCGGAATATGAATTTACACTATCCCAGGGGAGCCCGTATCGCCTTCCCGAGGTTCCCTTGTAAAAAACGATACGCGGGGACATCTTTTGTTCTAGCGTATAACATAACACTTGTTCACGAATCCCTTTTTTTCCGAAAAATGGGGCGACGTGCGCACGCGCGCGCCGTCGCGCGCGCATGCCGAAATCCTCTAGAAACTTTTGGTGTCGGAAGGATTTCGCAATCGAGTTCCCAAGAAACATACAAAAACACAGTGTTTCGCAACACTGGTTTGCTAAAAAAGCTTACGCGCGAGCTCTTGCGAAATCTTAAGGCAAACATCGATGTTCAAGATTTTCGCAAAATGCTACCAAACGGGCTTCGCGCGCGCGCATGTCGAAATCTGTCGAGCGCCCTTGCGCGTGTGCCGTCGCGAGAATCCTCTGCAACAGATGGGGACGAAGTGAAGACGCGCGCGTCGTCACGCCCGTATGCCGAAATCCTTCAAAACCCATCGGCTTCGGAAGGATTTCAAAATCGTGTGCCCAAAAAACCTACAAACATGCAAGGTTCCGCAACACGGATGTTCAACAAAAGCGTGCGCGTGCTCTCTTGCGTCGTCGTCGTCGTCGGCGTCGCCGTCCTCCCTCCTCCCTCGTTGTCGTCGTCGCTACGTCGTCCTCTGTCTTTCCTCGTCGTCGTCGTCTTTGGCGTCATGGTCGTTTCCGTCGTCGTCGTCGCCGTGGTCGTCCTTCCTCCTCCTTCCGCGTCGTCGTCGTCTTCCCTCCTCCCTCGTCGTTGTCGTCGTCGCCATCGTCGTCCTCCCTCCTCCCTCGTCGTCAAGTCGCCGTGACCTGCTCGAGGTGTTTGGGTGCAGGCCACAGTGGCCTGCGACACCTCCGCGGTCGCGCGACCACGGGCGCCGCCACGCCGCGCGGCCCCGATCAGGATCCGGCCTGGCACCGCCGCCGCCGCAAGGAGCGTGCCAACGCACGAGTGCTCCTGAGGCTGGGCGCGGCGGCAGGCCTCTTGGACAAGCACCACAGCAGCGGCAGGATGGCGCTGGGAGATCGTGCATCGTCACGGTCGACGACAGGCCATACAGCAACCTGGCGCTGCTCCTTCGTGAAGTGCAGCCAGGACAATTTCGCGTCGAGAACGACATGCAGAGGCTGCGGAGCGCCCAAAGGAGGAGGAGGTGGAGGCCAGAAGGACAAGGCCAAGCCCCCCTGGAGGAAGCGCTCCGCATCAGCAGACAGAGGAGGAGGCCAAGGGCGAGGAGCTGCAGCAGGAGACCAAGGGGAGGCAGATGCAAGAGGCCCAACGTCCTCGGGCAACATCGGCATCCTGCCCATGCTGCCGAACCAGGCGCAGCACCACCCCAGCTGGCTCGCCGCCCCGCCGATCGCCGCAGGACTCAAGCGCCACAGGGAGTCTCTGCGCAAGGCAATGGTGGCAGCAGCGGAGGCGGTGAGGGCGATCCGCAGCATGCCCCCTGAGCAGGTCCCCCCGCAGCGCCTCAAGCAGGCCGAGAATGAATACGCGGCGCTCCACTGCCAGGTCATCCTTGCCAAGGACCCGACCACGCGCATGGAGAAGCAGGAGCAGTTCGTCAACAAGGCCAAGAAAGCGCTGTCGGCCGCCAAGGACGCCCAGTTCGCCGCAGAGCTGGCGGCGGAGGCATGCAAGGCGGAGACGGTCAAGGCCCAGAAGGAGTACCAGCACGCGCAGGAGTTCATGGCGCAGATGGCACAGCTTGAGCACTGGTGCGCATACCCGCCGCAGGGAGGAGCCCAGGCGGCTGCGGAGCCAGCCGCGCACAAGTTCGCCAGTGACGCTGCGGTGCCGGACGACAGCGACGAGGATATCGAGGACGCAGACGACGACGGCTATGGAGGAGGCACGTCGGGGCAGCAGCAGATGCCAGTGAGACCGCCATGGTCACATACAGGCACGGCCCAAGAGCAGAACCGCGTGGCGAAGCTGGAGACACAGATGGGGTCCATGCAAGACACGCTGGGACAGATCCTCGCAGCGCTCAACGGGCGCCCCCTCCAAGGCCAGCCATCGCAGGCCGCGGGAGCGGAGGACATCCCCGCTCCAGGTGGAGGGAGGCAGCCCAACAGCCAGAAGAGTGCTAGCGCAGGCAAAGCAGCCAAGTCCCCAGCCAAGGCGTTTGCGGAGCCCCCGCCGCCAGGCCAGAGGAGACTGGCCCTATCGTCTGGAGCAGCTGCCACGGACAGCGCAGAGGGAGCCGTCAAGGTCATGAAGGACGAGAACGGGGACCCAGTTGTGGTCGAGGTGGCGGCAGCCCGCTCCCCACTGCAGGAGCTACAGCAGTGCCAGGCACCGTCCGCCACCGACGAGAACGCCATGAGCGACGTCAGAGTGGGGCAGCGGATGGATGCCAACGGGCGGCCGTTGGGCTAGTTTACCCGGGCCAGCCCCCGCTACCGTCTTCAGCGGCGACGGAAGCGTCAAGGGGGTGTGGCCCGGTTGACAGAGCCGCCACTACTTCTTCATCCTCAGAAGGGCTGCCAAGGAGTGGTGCTGACGCGCCGATTCCAGACACAGCAGCCGACTTGGCAGTGCTGAGGGCAG